ACAGCGTTCCCCCATGTTACTGCTGGGACTTCGGCCATACCGGGCAGCGTGGCAGTAGGCATGGCAGCAGCAACCTGGACGAGAGTGGCATCAGCTTCTTGATCTCTGGCAGTGACGGTTGTAGCTCTTGGTCGGTCGGGATGCACTTGTCGCCATGTATGCACGGCTGTGGTGGCTGCAGCTATAAGTCTCCGTGGCCGCGTAGACATGCATCCCATAGCGCCCCGTTTCTTGCTCTCCAAATATAATATAGGAGCGCAGCTGCGTAGACAATTCCGTTAGCATCTAGAACATTTAATAGTTCACCAAACCAAGTACGAGAAATATTTGTCACACTATTAGGGATTGGAAGGTGGGATTGAGTCCAAATAGCATTTGCATAATCAAATCTAACTAGGGAGTGCATAGTATCCTCATGCATGATCCCACACATAGCACAAGTAGGATCAATTTCCACTATCTTTATAATCATATTTTTGGTGGTGGGGAGTATATCATTCAAGGCTCTCCATAAGAAGGTTTTCCACTTGGACGGAATCTTGAGCCTCCATAGGTTGAGCCACCCATCAAAAGAGCCCATTGTATCAACATAGTTCTAACAATGCGCTTATATTCACTTTTAACTCAGTAGTTCCCATTGGGGTCCCCATGCCAGTTCCATATATCCTCATAATCAGGTGATACAGATATCTTTAATATTCGTGTTACATCAGTGGGAATAAAAATATAAGTGAGAATAAAGTGATCCCAGGTCCCCGTCTCCTGATCCATTAACCCCACCACAGTTGCTTGAGCCAATTGGGGTGGTTTTTCTGGGTGTATCATCGGATCCTGTTCATCCTGGAGCCATGGGTGGTCCCAAATTAGCGTAGTTTGACCATTCCCAATCCTGCGCCTGACCCTACCACAAACCATTTCCTGTGCTGCCATAATGCTGCTCCAACAGAAACTGAGATTATTTCCTAACCTGGCATTATAAAAAAACCCCTCTGGGGTAATATCTGGCCTTTATATACTCTGGACCAAGGAGTCAGGTTTCGTAAGAAATCGCCAAGCCTGTTTACCCAACATAGCCAGATTAAAAGCAAGCAATTCTTTAAAATCTAAGCCCCCATACTTCTTAGGGATACATAACTTATCCCATGCTTTTCAATGAATGCACTGGTCAACCCCTGATTCCCACCAATAGCGGTTCATGGTCCGCTCAATAGCTGTGTAAACTGTCACAGGTAATAAAAAACACTCATTGAGAAAGTAGACATAACTTGGGCCACACTTTTCAACAAGACTTCCTTACCAGCCTGTGATAATAACTTATTATTCCACGAACCAATTTTCTGTCTGATTTTATCCTCAATATATGAGAAAGCTGCTTTCATATTTATTCCCACAAAAAATGAGAGTCCCAAATATTTACCAAAGTTAGGAGCCTGCACAACCCCAAAATATGCGCCACTAATATTTTGGGAGTCCCAAATATTTTTAAGTATAATTGTTAATACAAAATTTGTTTTACCCTTCAATTTACTTGTGCAATTGTAAGTATAACAAAATGAAAAAAATTGTTGCACTCACATTTTCTAGTGCATTTTGTACAAACCCTAAAAGTTGAAAATAAGTTTATTTAAATGAGATGTTAAAATGACACTAACATGACGTTTAATTAGAGGAAATTTAAAATTCATTTCCACATAATTTCAAAGGTGACTAAATTTTTTAGTTTAGTGGGAAGGAATTGCAATTCCCTGATATTTTAATTTCATGGGTTTTATGAAGGAAAAAAAAAAATTTATGAGACAAAATTACCCCTTTCTTTTTTAACTTAAAATTGATACCCACAACAACAATATAATTTTAGACTTTATATTACTTATTTCCTTTCAATTCCCATGTATACCAAATATATTAGAATTAAAATTCTTAGTAATTATATTCCTGTAAACCAAACATTGGAATTTAAATTCCACTTTATTCAAGTAATTCATCTCCCATAAAATTATAATTCTTTTTCCACGTAATTTCCTCACTCAAACCAAACACTCAAGGGTTAAGTAAACAAAGTAGTTGTGTTTAAAGGATTGATAATGTTGATAACAAATCAATTAAATTAGACAAAAACTCAAATAATTAGAAATATAGATTAAACAAAAGTAAAACAGGAAAAACCATAAACAATTAAAGTAAGATTTCAAGTTTACATTTCTGCTAATTTTTTTAACCGTATTTCAGATTGATTTATATCATTGTGTTATTTAACAACTAAAGTAACAAAGAACCAATAACACCTCTATTGAAGTTCGAACTCACAAGTCACAACCTCCCATATAGGAGTCTAACCCGGGTGTCATTAGACCACAAGGTCTTGGCAAGCGAGCATCACCTAAAAAGGCTAAAACGCACATATGAGTAGTGATGGATGATATCGACTATACTAATAAGAGCCCAAGATAGTTATGTCTATAATGAGTAGAAAAAATGGCGGTCAAATTTTTTAATCAAATGAATGACTCAAATTGATTATATTTTAATTTTTCCTTATGATTTCCTAATTTATCCTTAATGAATATGATTATCCGTTAACTTTTCCGTTAAATATTATCTTTTTCGTTAATTTCTGTTAGTTCACCGTTAACTTACTCATTAATTTCAATAAGAAAGGTCTTAGGTTCGAACCACATCCTAATTAAAGTTGGCATAATTAGTACTCTATTTTACTCTTATTAAATTAATAAATAATAATTTAGTAGCTACAACAAAAAATAATACATATGCATTTCTTTAATTTAGAATTATGTGTATACAATGTCTTTATTCAAAAAAAATTATTCATTATCAATAAATTAAATAAGAGAAATAATTTCATTAGTTATATTGTATTTATTTTTCTCCAATATAAAAATTCTTTACATTTAAATTCATCAATTGATTCCTTCTAATAAAAAAAAAAAAAATTCATCAATTGATTCATTCAAAAAAAAAATTCATCAATTGATTATATTCGCTACATTGTCCCTACAATGTCTTTATTAAAAAAAATTATTCATTATCAATAAATTAATTAAGAGAAATAATTTTATTAGTTATATTGTCTTTATATTTCTCCAATGTAAAAATTCTTTACATTCAAATTCAATTCATCAATTGATTATATTCACTACATTATCTATTATCTTTTTTGTGCACTATTTTTTAATTAAATATCAAAGTTATAATACAAAATAATGTTATATATTTATTTACCATGTATTTAATTAATACCATGAAAAAATTAAAAAAAATATAATTAATAAAGTCAATCATATTAACTACTTGAGAGATTTGTTGACAAAGAGAGTATTCAAATCACACAACAAATTGAAGTGAGAACTACATCGCAGTGTCCTTGAATTGTTTGACAATCAGCAGTTAGCGGTTAGCGTTAGTGAATTATATTAGCGAATTTGACCAGCGAATTATATTAACGGTTGGTAAAAAGATATTTAAAAAAATTAGCTGTTTAGATTAACATGTAAAATGACCTAAGGGTATATATATATATATATATATATATATATATATATATATATTTAATAATAATAATAATAATAATAATAATTGTTTTTAAAAATAAAAAAATAAAAAATATAATTAAGCCAATTATATTAACTACTTGGGGTTTTTCAAAAAAAATATTAACTACTTGGGGGATTTATTGACAAAAAGAGTATTCAAATCACACAATAAATTAAAGTAGAAAATTATCTCGTAATGTCCGACAATCAACCGTTAGCTCTTCAATAATAGTATATATTTAATATTTTATGGCCTAATTTTTGTTTGCTCTCTCCTTATATCCCGTATTTGGTTTCAACCATACCTATACAATTATTTTATTGACAATTATAATCAATCTTGACTATATTATCTTGTATTTGTAAACTTAGATTTGCCTATTTAAATACGCAAATTTAACATTCAATTATCTATGCATGAACAATTTCAATAAAATCTTGCCTTGATATATTTTAAAGTACTTATTTAAAAAAAAAAACATTAGACATTATCTCTAAAAAACTAATTCTAGTAAATAAAAGTTCATTGACTTTGTGTATGGAGCAACCTTCAATTTTCAGGTCAATTGTTTTTAGGGCTGTTAACGAACCGAACATAAACGAACGGAGGTTGTTCGTGTTCGTTTGTTAAGGAATTTGGAGTGTTCGTGTTCGTTTGTTAAGGTTTTTGAAAATCCAGTTCGTGTTCGTTTGTTAAGCGTTTGTTAGTGTTCGTTAACGTTCGCGAACACGTTCACGAACGTGTTCGTTAACGTTAACGAACATGTTCGCGAACGTGTTTGTTAACGTTCGCAAACGTGTTCGTTAACATTAACAAACACGTTCACAAACATGTTCATTAATAAGTACGTTCACGAACATATTCATTTACGTTCATTAACACTTAATAAACAAACACCTGCACATGTTCCTGATCACAATTCGTTCGTGAACAATAAATAATCTACGTTCACGAACAATAATCAAACAAACAACACAACTACAAAACTAATATAATATAATATAATATATATGTTTGTGAACATGTTCACGAACATTATTAAACGAACACAAACGAACTTGTTCACGAACATTATTAAACAAACATAAACGAGCTTGTTCACGAACATTAGTAAACGAACACAAACGAGCTTGTTCACGATCTCTTAGCAAACGAGCTTAAAATTGTTCAAGCTCTGTTCGTTTATTAACCGAGCTCTAAATTTTGTTTGTTAATGTTCGTTTATTTTAACAAACGAACATAAACGAACGCTTACCGAACACGAATACGAGTAGTTTGTCGAAAGCTCTGTTCGCTAACAACCCCTAATTGTTTTATTAAAAAAGTGTGCATACAATTTAGTGAGAGACGATAGGTGAAAAATACACCAAAAATATTTGAAACAAAAATTAGGAGAAAATCAAAATTAATATGGCACTAACCTCAACTGGGTGAAAACAAAGCAAAACTCAAAAGAAAAGGCTTGTTTGGTTGTTGAGATTTACTATTCCACGCACGACTCACAAACCCCTCGAAGCTGAAACAAAGAAGAAAAAAGGCGCAGAGGTAGGCGATCTGCGGACAGTGAGGATGATAGGAGTTGGGAAAATCAAGCAATACACTAACGTTCTCGATAGACCTCTCAGCAAGGGCAAACAAGAGGTATATGCATACATTTCAAACTTTAGATCTTTAAGATACAATTCTCTGAATGGGCGAATTCTCGTGTATTCGATAAACTTGGGCTTTGATTTCATTAGCCAGTGTTTGAGAAAAGAAGGAAGCTCTATGTTCAAGGTGAATTTTGATGAAATGGGCCGTTTTGCAGGTTAGTTTGAGCGCGTTTGCATTCTTGTTCTCGGAGCTTGTTCAGTACAATCAGACCCAAGTTGATAACATTGCTGAATTGGAAAGAAGGTGATCCTTGATCTGCCTCTTTTCAATAGCTTAATTTCAGCTCTTTCTCATGTTTGAATATACTCGTGGCATTTTATGAGAATGGATGTAAAATTTCTGCTGCAGGAGACTTAAACATTAGAAAATTATTTATGTACTCCGTATTATATTTAGATGAGCCGGTTTAAAGTGAAGATTGTTTTCTGTGAATGGATCACATCTATACCTTTGGATGCATAAAGAATATTACCCTGCAAGGGGAAATAACTGTATATTTTATACTGATATGTTAGTGTATAGCAGCTTACTGCTTTAGCTAGTGTGGATCTGATGGTTATAGACTTGCAGGAAAGAAGCCCTAATATATGTAGATTATAGACCTTGCAAAAACAGTTAAACAATTCCAGATGGCAATGATTATGTTAAATGATTACTTTTGGATCTGGAGCAGGTTAGAGGATGCAGGCTATGCTGTTGGGGCACGAGTTCTGGAACTTCTCTGCCATCGAGAAAAGGTAACAATTCCAAATAATATTTTTCTTAAAGATCTGCTGGATATTATCTTTTGAAGTATTTTTTAAACTGTGTTCATATGCCATTTATCATTTTCTCAATGTTTTTTGTTTTTGTTTTTTTTTTTTGTGAGGGGCGAGCTGATGCCTCTGTTATGATTAATGATCTATCATCTATGCCTAGACAATGTAATTCCAAGCGCTTGATTTTCAAACTCTGACTGGCTTAAATCATGCTTTGCCCTTCTTTTATGCTGTAGGGCATGTTAATAATGGATTAACTTCACATGGAATTTGAAATATGTGTTGAGCGCATGCAATACAAATTGTTTGGGCTACATCTATATGTGTTCATGGGCGGTTTAAGAATATTTTGTAACCAAACCCTGGTACTATATTTATTTTGTCATGCTTGGAAAGGGGAGAGGCTCAAAGGGCAGATTAGTGTGGTTTGCAAATATTCTTTACTGCAGTAAGTATTTTATGGTGTACTGTCAATGTTTTTTTATTAGGTCTTTATTGCTTTTTCTAACCATTAAAAAGGGGAGGTTTACTGAACTAAAGATAAAATTAAGAATCACTAAATAGAAAAATGGTTTGCATGCCTATTGCTCTTTCTGGATTGGCCAGGATTCTCATACATCTCTACTACTAGCAGCAGCATACTCATTGGAGCTTGTTTCTGACAACTTATGACTACTAAAGTTATTAAACTTTTCCCTTGCCTGTGAGACAAAGCATGATGTCAGTAACATTGCCTTTTTTATCCTTCTGTTTACTGAGTATGGTTGCTATAATGCTATTGTTATATTGTAGCTTATTCCAGGACTGTAATGATATTACAGATCCTATTCAAATTTGGAAGACTAGCAATTCCGGTTTAAACATCTTTCTTTTTAACCCCTATCTTGATGCTTTTTTTTTTTTTTTTTTTTTTTTTTTTGACTTTTTTCTATAACATTGACTTAATGCTGCAGGGAAATAGAAGGGAGACACGGTTGCTAGGTATTTTGTCCTTTGTGCACAGCACTGTGTGGAAGGTTTTGTTTGGAAAGGTTAGTTATACATGTTTTCGCCATCTTTGAAAGTTAATGTTTTAGAAATCTGAAAAGTTAGAAAGTTTACATTCACATTCTTATTTTACTGGGCTTTATTTGTATCCTGAGTGTTTTCTTTCTGCCTTGTTTATTTTAGAAAGTCATGTTTTACTGGTATTAAGCTCTTATAGATTTCTACTCTCAGTTGCTCAAACTTCCTGCTATGAGAATTTGGAAAAATGAGATGGTATATTATTTTAGATTTTTGCATTGGACCAGGTTGCTGACTCCCTTGAGAAGGGTACTGAACATGAAGATGAATATATGATCAGCGAAAAGGAGCTCCTTGTGAACAGGTAGCATTTCTTGATGCTATATTTCTTATCCACTTTGTAAATTACATTTTTTAACTGATTTCTGGATAACACACATTGTTTGCTTCATAGATTTATCTCAATTCCTAAAGATATGGGTGCTTTCAATTGTGGAGCTTTTGTTGCGGGCATTGTAAGGGTATGCACTGTGAACAGAACTGATTATGTTTCTACCAACCTTATCCCTTTACGTGATACATTTCTTTTCTTTTTAAAGGGTGTACTTGACAATGCCGGTTTCCCAGCTGTTGTAACTGCCCATTTTGTTCCAGTGGAGGGGCAGCAGCGACCTCGGACTACCATTTTGATTAAATTTTCTGATGAGGTAGTCTCTTATATTTTTATGCAACCTTCATTTCTCCAGTTGCTTTGCAGTGGTTTTATGTTTCAGTTGACTTAAAGATGAGCTTTCTTAACTAGATTGGTTCGCGTGAGTGGATGTGCACTCTCGTCCCTTAAGATAGGTCAGGGGTTCGAACCCCCTCTCGTATGGAAAAACCAATCTGGCCAGCACTCTGCCCCTTAATTGGGCCGGCCCGGTACGAATGGGGATTAGACTGAGTATGGTACGGGCTTAAAGGTGCCTCTTACAGTTAGGGCCTGTTCAGGACACTTCATGGTCTGACCAAAAAAAAAAAGATGAGCTTTCTTTCTTAAGTACACCTATGCCCAGGCTGATGCGAGCTTTCTGTTTATATTCTGAGCACCAACATAATACACTGCAATGGCAACAATGAACTTGTTGAGCCATGATCCAATTTTCTATATTCTTATCATTGAAATGCTTCGAGGACCAATCAGTTTTCTTGTTCCAGGTTCTACGAAGAGAAGCAAGACTAGGTTGATGCTCGTTATGTCCTATTGGTTCAAGATATTCTACACCAGCGAGAGCGGGTAACTCTAGGAAAATGGTGTAATTTATCAGGATCATTTGAATCCTAAAAAGCTGATTGTCGACTGTGACTTGATCCGTCATTCGCGAAAGTTACAAACCAATCATTATCCAGAAATGTGTGTAGCTGAACTGGAGAAAACTACACTAATAGTTGTAATGCTTGCTAGATTTGATACAGGAGGTTCAAAAATGAAAGATTATGTGGTATTGCAACCATGCTTTAACCTTTTTTTGGGGAGTCACATTTTTCCCATCTTTTAATCAGTTTCTAGTTTATGATTGCCATTTAGAAAAGCCTCAGACAATCTATATTTGTTAAGCATCTTTTATATATATAACCAGCAAGCATTGAAGAAGATTGATTTTTTTTCCTGGGTCACCACACACAAACACATATATTATATATAGGCATAACAGTAGAAACTGTTCCTTCAAACACCAATCAGTCGTCTGTGATACATGTCTGTATACTTTGTATAATTGTTTTTTTTTTTTTGTTTTGTTTTTTTTTTTGGTTGTGTTTTGTTTTGTTTTTGTTTTTTTTTTTGTTTTTTGTTTGTTTTTTTTTTTTGGTGAGGTGCCAACTAGGGAAGAGAAGAAGAAAAAAAAACAGCTGACACGAAAATAAAAAATAAAAAATAAAAAATAAAAAATAAAAAAAATCAAAGCACAGGACTCACCAGCCGGTAGGTGCATTGCACGCGCACAAAGGTAGTAGACTTCTGCCATCTTTCTCTCCTACGGGACCTATTTGAGAAAAGTTTGAGAAAAAATTATGCCTCCCATTAATATAAAAACACAAGCTTAGTTTTTAGATATGAAAAAATTTCAAAAAATCACAAATGTGGATGCCCAAAGACTAAAGAAATATTGTATTTTAACCATTACACGGTTCACGTGAGAGTCACAAGATTTATTATTTTCACTTTCAATAGCAACATACTTTTCACTAAGTTGGCAATGAAACTACACCATTAATGAATGAGACTTGAGAAGGAGTGCACATGGACTTAGTTTTACGGGTTCAGTAGACAGTATTGTCACTTTGTTATCGTGATTTACATTTTTTCTTATATGCTCTATCAGGCCAGGATGTGGGTGGCCTTGGAGTTGGGGATTTCAACCTTTGGGAGAAGAAGAGAATTGAGAAAAAATGTATGAATAACAACAATACAAATCAAAACTTGTAGAAGCAATATTGATATTAAGTAACCATTGTAAAATACAAATACAATCACTAATGATAATCTTACATAAAGCAAAAAACCACTACACAGAAAGTGGCTGTCAATAAGGGGCATACACATACTTGTATGACAAAAGAACAATGAGAAACACAACTTGATCACCTTAGAGATACACCCCAAGAACTCATTAGTTTCTTCCAAGTGGCAATGACCGACAAGAATACGTCTCCTTGAAATCAGACTTCCTGGATGATGTAAAAATGGATGCATAAACCTCCTTGGTAGCATTAGCTGGTACATTCTCACCCGCCTTAAATCGCTTTCCTGATCCATTACTTGCACCATTGGTAACATTCTTCACTTCGATCTTACCATTAGGATTATTTTTCCTATTCAGTTCTGATTTCCCTTTCTCTGCAAAAACCTTATCCTCAATCCCATGTTTTGTCCCACTCAAGCGGGTAACTTCAACACCCTCACCATTCACAGCTACATCCCCACCATTCTTCCCCTTCTTCGACTTCTTATTATCCTTAAGTTTTGCGTTTTCCTCCACCATTCTCTCCTTCAATGCTGCAACCTCGTCTTCATTCCCATTTATCACAATCTTCTCGTTCTCCATGAACTCCTTGTGACAGACCAAACAAGCTGAAGACTTCACCTCTTTCAAAGCTTTGGCACTGAAGACATGCCCACAAGGCCTAAGTGCAAAGAACTTATATTTCCCATTAAACTCTAACCCCGAGATAGGGCATTGAAACCTTGTCACGAAACCCAAGCCACTGTCTTCCATACCCGGGATAGCTGATAACTCAATTGGAATCATATCTCTCAACCCCTTTATGTAAGCAAACTGTTTAGGCACTTGTTTCTTCAACAAGGCTTCGACCAAGGCCTCCTTGTTAAACAAATTCCCAAGCTTATCGATCACCACGGGATGCTTCAAAGGCTCATTTGACAATGTACAATTCAACCACTTGGACAACCTAACCTCATTAGGGTCAATTTTGTCAGGCTTCTTCTCAGCATACATCTTAAGATAACAGTCACGGGACTCGGCCCCAGTGGCACCGCCATCGCCACCTCCACCAAGGAAGCGGAGGCGCAGGGTCAAGGTGGAGAGAGGGGCAATAAGGGAACTGTTTACAGGAGTAGAATCTGGGATTAATTTCCCATCCAAGGTGAAATAGCCAGAGTGCTGAATTAGGGTTAGGGTTTTGGAAAAGATGAATGCTTTGAGGTCTTTAATGGTGAAACCTGGGTTTGGGGATTCAAGACTTATGGCTCGGGTTGGGATTTTGAGGTCTGGGGATTGAATGAAAATCTGAAAATTCTGGCTTTTCGAATCCATTCTCTGATTTCCTTAGCTTTTCGCGATTGGTTCGGTTTCACAGTTTATGCACAATTGAAAAAGTATCGAGATTGAACAGGTGGAATCAACAGAAGATTTACCTGGAAGAAGAGAAATTGAAGTGAAGATCAGAAGATCTTTGCTTTTCCCAGAAATCAATTCAACAGGAGACGGGGAACATGTATGTATATAAACAAGGTTTGATCGCAACTCCGTGCACCGACGTTCAGATAAATAGATGAATAGTCAGAAATCGAATAGATGACGGAAATAGGAACAACTGGGAAGAAGTATTGGATGAGTTCATACACACTTTTTAGCCCACAGTCCATAGTCCATCAGATTGGGTTAAATCCAATTTATATTGCTCCAGCCCAATCCTAAATTGATCCAAACTATGATTAAAGGCAAATTATTCTGTGGACTCCGGTGGCAAATTATGTCGTGGAATTGTGTACACTTTATAAGGTGGACAAAGTTTCAAAACGACATTATTTTGGTGAAAAACGATGCCGTATCAATTTTTTAAAAAAATGTTTTTTTTTCGTGGTTAACAACGTTTGTCTTCAGGAAGTCTACGTTCATAATTATAAAACTCTATGTTCATAATTTTTGAACTTCATATTCACAATTATTGAACTCTATATTCACAAATACAGAACTCTATGTTCATAATTATATAACTCTATGTTCATAATTTTTGAACTCTAGAAGTCTATGTTCATAATTACTGAACTCTATATTCATAATTATAGAACTCTATGTTCATAATTTTTGAACTCCACATTCACAATTACGAACTCTATATTCACAATTACAGAACTATATGTTCATAATTATAGAACTCTATATTCATAATTTTTGAATTCTATATTCATAATTCTTGAACTCTATATTCACAATGTCTCGCTGAGTTGTTTTGACAATTAAAAAAAAAAATCTAATTGGTGGAGAAAAACAATGCCACTAACAGCATCGTTACTCCAAAATTACCAAACGGTGTCGTGTTGGAACCGTGTCCACCTTGCAAGGTGGACACGATTCCACGACATAACAATTGGTCTTACACTTCTACTCAAGAATTTAAACGGTATATGTTCTGTAAACTAAACAATGTAATTTGTGAACTTGAATAACCAACGAAACGGATAAATTAAATCATTGTCTTAAAAAAAACACACACAAAGGCAACAGATGAATTTAAAAAATTGTTGTCTTTGAATTTTTTTTTTTTAATTTTACAAAATAGTCAAATGCACTTATAACAACACACTAAAGACAACGATTAATGAGTAAAAATCACTGTCTTTGAAAAAAAAAATTGGTCGAATATAACGGTTTTTAACAAAATTATTATTATTTATACAAAATGTGTATTTTTCTTGAAGTGCATCAATATAAGGACATAAACCACTAATTAAATACCTAACTATCTATTTTGGCCAAACTCTTTACCCAATAGTCTAGCAACTTTACACAAAATAATTTCTGATATATAATATAACTATATGTATATCAATATGAAAAATATTTCAACACTCTAGCTAACTGGAGTTTTTTTGTTTGTTTGTGTATGTAGAGTCCCAAACCACAGTTGTAGGGTTGCAATGAGTAGAAGGTGGTTGAAAATTCAAAATTGAAATAGAAGTGGAGTGGTCCAGGTATAAAATGTGGACATGGTAGCATGCGCAGAAATGGGTACAACAACCCTGATGGTTGTGTGGCTCTAATTTGGGTGTGGAAAACACAAAACCCCACACCAATCAACTATGTTTTTATAACCAAGTTAATTTCTCAATTTCACCGGATTATATTATGAACCTCATAAACCCGTCTCAGACCCATGAGGACGGATATACACTTCTGTAGTTATGCGCATGAGCTAAGAGCATCATCATCAGTAGATTTTGGTGTGATTTTTGAGGAGTTCATGTTGAAGTAGAGGAGATAGAGAAATGATAGTCTTTACTGGAGGACGACCAAAGTTTTTGTTTTTCCAGATTTTGATTTTTTTTACTCAAACTCCTCATATCTTCTATTTCTTAGTCACTCCTGTAAAAATTTATTAAAAGCTATAATTATTAGTGATGCTCTAAAGATCCCAATCCAAACCCGAACTCAAATCTCAATGTTCGTAGCAGATATCGATCAAATTTCATCTATAAAAAATAAATTTTAAATGAAACTTTTCATTTATTACATTAATCAAGTCTTCTTTGTATGTGAGCCACAACATCACAACCTTCCTTTCCTTTTCTGTCTGTCTTTGGAATTTCAGCCTCCAACCAACCTAGCTGCTACTTCATTATATTTTTCAACCTCCAACAAACAACTCATTTCTCGATCAGACAATATTTCTCTTTCATTTCTCTTTTTGTTTTCCTTTATAAAAATAATAATGAAAAAAATGGCGTTTTTAGCCTCTCAAAATTATTAGTGTAGTAATATTTTTCTTAATCATGAATGGACCATTATGCACTTGAAAGATTTAATTGCTTGAATATACATGCGAAATGCTCAAATAAATCTTCCAAATATTCATATATATATATATATATATATATATATATATATATATATATTATTTTAGGATTAGGAATTAGATTATTAACTAATAACTATACTGTGTATATATTGGATTAATTGGAATATATTGACTATTGATTACTTTGCATTGTGAATATTGAATGAATGTGTATATATTGAAATATATTGAATGTTGATTAATTTGCAATGTGAATAATTGTATTGAATGTCAGCATATGTATAATATTATAAACTCTCATAAATCACAGCCACATATTTTAATTTTTTTCTTTTTTATTTTTAAAAATTGTATCAGTTTGATTTTATGCATGGGTTGATCGGGGATGTAGACAGGGACGGAGTCGGGGTAGCGGGGGCCCCATTGCCATCCCTAAATCTGTATGTAGTCAAAACAATTGAATGACTCTAATATTAATTAATAGAGGGGCTAGGGATGCATTCCGTTTCAATTAAAAAGGTAAACCGATGATAATTAAAATATTATACATTTATGTTTATATATAAATAAAATCAAAAGTCATAATTACATCACCCGTCCACACCTAAAGATTAGTTCTCAAATGAATATAAATATAAATAATACACACACACTTGTTTATATAGTCAATAAAATTACATGAGTAAATAAAAAAATTTAAACTGAACATATAATGTGGTGTTTGGTAGGACGGAATTGCAATCCATTCCTACCAAACTCCATGGAATTACAATTCCATAGTTTGGTTGGAGGGAATTGTAATTCTACGGAGTTACAATTCATTCCAACCATGAAATTGCAATTTTTAGGGTCCCAAGGAATTGTAATTCTATGTTAAATTACAATTTTATCGTTCGTATGATTATTATATTACAGAGTATTATTATACCAGGACATTTTAATTTTTATTGACTTCTTTCCCTTTCAATTTCCAATCATTATATTCCTTCCTACGGAAAAATGCAATTTAAATTCTCATTATATTTTATTCCTTTTTCAAGGAATTACAATATTCTTTTCCCTTATTTAGTTCTCTCCTTCCAACCAAATGCCCTATAAATGTTAAAACAACCATTGAATATCAACCTTAAGATTACTGCATGTCTAAGCTAGCAAGATTGCCGGCAACTAATTAATAATCAAACAACCTAATTAACAGATTCTTTGTTAGTACATGGAATTGGATAAGGAAGAAAGGATAAGAGTGTGATGGATCAATGTATATATAATTATATATGCATGCATGCATTGCATGCGGCCTTTACGTAACGACATACATGCACTGCTTACGTTGTTCCAACTTAATTAATTCCGTCCTGCATCCATGCATGGGTTGCTGATCTGACAACGTCGTAACGTAACGTATTATGTTATGGCCTCGACTGCATTATTGCATGCCTCTCATCTTTCTTACCCGGAAAGAAATTAAAGACAAATAAACTTATTACGCATTCGATCTGATTCAGTGAAATTTATCTTGTAACTGTAACCCCCGGACAACACACTTGAAGACGCGTGTTTTGGATGAAGTATGCATTGTGATTCTAGCTAGTCTATAAAAAACTAAAAATAGATAAACTAACATACCTTATCAATAGAAAACCGACTCAAATCAAGAAAATCAATAGACAAATTTTAAAAAAAAATCAAATTTGAAACACATTCATTAATTTGTTGGGGTTGCCGTACGTGAATCCCGTGATCATTTTAGCCGTCTGTACTGTTATGCACAAACCACAATTGCACAAATGACCAAATGCATTTCAAATGACGTACAACGTGCGCCGGCCTCAACATGTACTTCCATCCAACTAATTAACTTTTGATTTCTCAAACACTATATATGTACCCAACGAGGAAAAAATAAATTAAAATATGAAATAGACACCATGCATTTGTGTCCTACGTACGTTATTTAAAATTTTACTACATATATGTTATAAGTTAGTGATTTTTTTTTTTCTTTTTTAAAAGTTTAGTACTCCACAAACTCCTTTATGGAAAACATGCCTGGTCCCATAAAGTCAGTTTGTGCTGCGTACTTAAAGTTTGATATATATATATATATATATATATTTTTTTTGACCATTGTTTGATGAAAAGTCTAATTCATAACTTTTTAACCTGAAGCAAAATATGCATTTCACTTCTCGCCATCATTCTTTTGGCTTAATTATAACATGTAACATGTAATTTTTCTAATGCAGTTTACTTATTCTATGTGGTTTGTGAGTTATTAAACAAGACATGCAGTCTAGTGCACATTTTCAGTAGTGACGGTTGGATTCTATTGTTATAAAAAAAAATGCATTTCACTTATTAACCAAATAGTTTGTGTGATTCAAACAAGACATTTTAATTTGAAATAATAATACATTACAACATTCAGAGTATAAATGTTTGAATTTTTAGTATTCCACCACGGTGAGACATATCTGTTGTTTATTCTGTGAAGACATAATCCAAAATTAAAGTTGTTAACTAAAGTTGTATTAGCAATTGTTCATCTGATTAAAAATTAAAAGCTAGTGTCACTTAACCGCAAAGTTCAACGGTTGAATTGTTATGTTATAAATTTTTGTTTGGATGGTTCCTTTTGAAACCCAATCTTGTAATTCCCAGAAAGATGAGGGTGAAATATGAAACCAAAACTTTTGTGTCTGAAATTCCTCCACTTCTACTGTCCTGTGGCTCACCGCTCACCTTCTTCTTTCTATTTATACTGAAACCAAATCCCAACCAGGAATAAACCTCACACTTCTCACTCACACTCAAACTTTCTTCAATCATTTCTCGTCTCCTCTCTCTAATTTCTCTACCCACAAGGGCCTTTGCATCGGTAGCAATGACCCAAAATGGAGTTTTTGCAGAGATCATTGAAGGGGAGGTCTTCAAGTACTACTCGGAAGGAGAGTGGAGGAAATCTGTCTCGGGGAAGTCGGTGGCTATCATCAACCCAACTACAAGAAAGACTCAGTACAAAGTTCAAGGTTCAATCTTTTTCAGTTTGTAATGCAAAATTCAAGATTTTCTTGATTTACAGTTCATGTTGCACTCACTTATTTTGCCTTTCTGTTGAGAATTGGTAGCTTGAGGTTGATGTTTTTGAGGTTTTAGGATCACTATGAAGTTCATGATACTAGAATTTTGCTGAGGTTATCAGTTTAGGACATGATGGTCTTAGAATGGTAAATTGTTATGTTGCTTTTTCCAAAAGACTTCTGTGTTCTTTCCCCTTCCAGATGATCAAATTTTCTGTCCAGTATCCTTAAATATGTTTGCAAATAGACTCAAAGGTTTCTAGGTTAGTCCTTGCCCACAAAAGGCCAAATTCTCTCTTGCCCGATGGCCTTCACACGCCCGACAAATAGTGGAAGGGTAAATTATAGTGACTTAGTAACCCATTACGCGGGAGGGCCAGTGCAAGGAACCCACATTGGGTGTAACTCCCACAGTGCGTCTGCCAGAGCTTGATCTTGTGTCTTGTCCACAATCTACCATCCATGAATCAATTGAGTTGCCCGTGTTGGCTTTCCAAATTAGTCCTGATTCTACTCTTTTTGTGTGTGTTGTGGAGTTGGTCAATTCTTCAGGTCATGTAGTAACTCTGATGGAATATTCTTTTGTGTAGTGATATAAATTTAATGTGCCTATGTCATTGTAAAGTTCTTCAACTTTTTCATGAATATTTTAAAGATCAAAATATGATTTGTCTTCAACATGGTTTCTTTAATTAGCCTGCACACAAGAAGAGGTGAACAAGGTAATGGAAAATGCAAAAGCCGCGCAAAAATTGTGGGCAAAAACCCCACTTTGGAAGAGAGCAGAGCTCCTTCACAAGGCAGCCGCCATTCTGAAAGAACACAAAGCCCCGATTGCAGAGTGTTTAGTAAAGGAAATTGCAAAACCAGCTAAAGATGCTGTAACCGAGGTAACGACAATGAATGTTTGTAATTGACTAATTTCAATGTTTGCTGTGTTTGAAGGAAATGTTCATTGGTTTATTGCACTTGTCTACAATGTATATTGAGGCTCCTATAGCTAGGTGAAATTAGGTTTATCGTATGCCAATTGTTAACTTTTGAACCGAAGAAACAACCTCAAACCTTCTGATTTTATGTTGTGATTAGTGCATAAAGTTCGGTGATTGTTTCATTAACTGTGAGTTTGATTCACAAAGGTTGTAAGGTCTGGAGATTTGGTCTCTTACACTGCTGAAGAAGGTGTTCGCATTTTGGGGGAAGGAAAATTTTTGGTATCCGATAGTTTTCCTGGAAACGAGAGGACCAAGTACTGCCTTACTTCAAAGGTACCTTTCAACTATTCTTTGTGGAGCTTAGTTTTCTTCCATACTTAAATGCCAAATGTATATTGCTTTCTTCTATAGAAATTTCTCGACTGCTAAAGAGAAGAAGAGTAAGGTTAGTAAAATCGTGTGTTGATGTATTAATAAATTTACATCATGGTTACAGATTCCACTCGGTGTGGTTTTAGCCATTCCACCGTTTAACTATCCTGTCAATCTTGCTGTCTCCAAAATAGCACCCGCTCTGATTGCCGGGAACTCACTAGTTCTTAAACCTCCAACTCAGGTAATTCTTACCTCAATTGTTGAACTATAATGCACATGGGCCAAACCACACTAAAAGATTAAATCCAACCTATAACTCATGGCCTTATAAACTCATATATCCTCTATTATTTTATCAATGTGGGACTCTTAACAACTGCAATTAACATTCCGTTTTCCACTCTTTATTTTTTCTCCTAGTAGTAAGCCACGCAATTATGTTTTGATGCAGGGTGCTGTGGCTGCCCTCCATATGGTGCATTGCTTTCACCTGGCGGGTTTTCCCAAAGGCGTTATCAGCTGTATCACAGGAAAGGGTTCTGAAATTGGAGATTTCTTGACAATGCATCCCGGAGTGAACTGTATAAGGTAAAAGCCAATATTCTTTCTTACATGGTACTTCCTATTCGCGTGAATGTATGCCCCTATATATAATCGTGCACTCGTGTTTTCCCTCAGCTTCACTGGTGGGGACACTGGTATTGCAATCTCGAAAAAAGCGGGCATGGTCCCGCTACAGATGGAGCTTGGAGGAAAGGACGCCTGTATTGTGCTCGAGGATGCTGACATAGATTTGGCAGCAGCAAATGTTGTCAAAGGAGGATTCTCTTACAGGTGCAAGAATTTCTTGGATTACAATCGACAATTGATCATGAATAATGTTCTTAGCATCTATAAAAGCTGAATGTTTTAACCCAAATATGTTCTTTGACATCATCTTGTGACAGTGGTCAGAGGTGCACTGCGGTTAAGGTTGTCTTGGTGATGGAATCCGTTGCTGATACTCTCGTCGAGAAGGTGAAGGCGAAAGTGGCGAAACTAACGGTTGGGGCACCCGAGGATGACTGTGACATCACTCCCGTCGTTTCAGAATCATCAGCGAACTTCATCGAGGGGTTGGTCACAGATGCAAAAGAAAAAGGAGCCACTTTCTGCCAACCATACAAGAGGGAGGGCAACCTCATCTGGCCCTTGTTGCTAGACCATGTGAGGCCCGACATGAGGATCGCGTGGGAGGAGCCATTCGGGCCAGTTTTGCCCGTTATCAGGATCAATTCTGTCGAAGAAGGAATCCACCATTGCAACGCTAGCAATTTCGGCCTCCAAGTAAGAACACCCACCCTTCTGCAGTTCTAAAATAGTTAGCTTATCAGCTAATTTTGGCTTATTTGACCATTATTAGACAGCTATCAGCTAACAGCTAATTTACAAAACACATTTCTACAATCAGCTAATGTTATCAATTAGTCATACCCTCTAACTCAATCAGCTAACAGCTATCAGCAAACTGATATCTCGTACGTTTTGCTCAACTGCAGGGATGTGTCTTCACGAAAGACATCAACAAAGCCATACTGATCAGCGACGCCATGGAGACTGGAACCGTGCAGATAAACTCAGCACCAGCACGAGGACCCGATCATTTTCCTTTCCAGGTAAAGCATATACTACTAATAAAACCGAACAATTGCCCAAAACACGACGCTATTTATGCTTTCATAGTGACATAAAAAACGCATTTTTTTGTTCTTAACAGGGCATCAAGGACAGTGGAATTGGATCACAGGGCATTACAAACAGCATTAACATGATGACCAAAGTCAAGACTACTGTCATCAACCTGCCAACCCCATCTTATACTATGGGCTAACATTATGCAGTTAGCATCATGGCAATAAAAGTAGCTAATAATCTGTTCTGCATTTTAGATCAAGAAACAATTTGTTTTCCCTGATTTTTCACCACTTTGAACCTATAATATTGCAGTGTTGGAATGAGAATAAGTTAGGGTGTTCACTATCTAGTACCTTGTTTGTTTCCTTTGCAAAATGAGCTATTTTTTTTGTCAGACCAGACCCTAACTGGCGGAGGTACCTTTAAGCCCATACTTAGACTAAATCTCGTTCGCACCGGGCCAACCCAATTAAGGGCAGGCCCTAATTGGCGAAGGTACCTTTAAGCCCATACTTAGACTAAACCCCGTTCGCACCGGGTCAGTCCAATTAAAGGATTTTTTCGTACAAGAGGAGGTCCAAACTCTCAGGCTCTCTTAAGGAACAAGAGTGTACGGCCACTCACGCCGACCAAACTAGTTTGCAAAATTAGCTATTTATGTTCAATAATCCTCCTTCTTTTCAGTTCAAGATAATAGTGGGCTAATGATGGGCACAACTGCCCCTATATAGGCCTTTTGGCTCTCTCTTCTAAATGGGCTAGGGATTGGAATTGGATCCTATAAATGTGTGCTAATGGATTCTTGTTGGTTTGATATACAACATTCAATATTCTCACTACTATTTGATCTCAATTTGACCCGAATCATGTCTTTTGGCGCACAAATTATGGTGCATTACCCGAATAAAGCACCGAATTTGAGTTGATGAATGAAGCAACTAACATTGAGCACAACTACTACACTGCATTAGTAAGACCTCGTGCAATGAATTGGACCAAGACGGTGTACACACAGGATATGTAAACTGCACTAAAAATGCCACATGCGACGAGGACGACCAAGAGAATGTGCACTCCTGTTTTTGGGTAGGTAAATCCCACTCCAACCATATAAGGAGCAGTAAATTACACTAGGAAGACCTGTACAACGGGTTTGACTAAGAAAGCGTTGTCAAGAATCAAACTTATGACTTTTAAGTATAAAAATCATGCTCTACTCACTTGACCACCCCTTTTCGGACGTGAACCAAACATTATTGAATCTATTGGTATAGAGCCAGTAAATTTTTACAAATATGGTAGAATCCCATTCCCCAAGCATGCATTATGCATTAACTTTCCAATTTATATATAAAGACCAAATATGATCAAGGAGGAGTTTTAATTTAAAATTATAATACCATTTTTTTGGTTAAAAAGAGAATTGAAGTCTCTCTCTTCTTGATTATATTCTTTTTTTTTTTGAAGTATCTCCCACCAAACATTCCAAATGAATTGTTTATTCCACACACTACCTACTTGGCTACTTGCTCCCATTCAAGGCTTAATGTCTACTTGCATCCATCTCAGCACTTAATTTTCATTTCCACAACCTACAACCAATATCAACATTCCAAAAAGTAGTAATATAACAAATATTTATTTCCATACAACTTGTAGATTAGATAATCTATGATTAATGGAAAATTTTGCAGAGACTATTCAAATGTATGCTATGAATTAAGCCCGTATTTTGAGCCTAGCGAGTAAAGGACCACAAAAAGGTAAATCAACTTAGGTTGCTGCGCTATAACTGAACGACTTGTAACTTAGATATTCTAATTATGTAAACTTGGATACTTACATTATATCATACTTTTAAATCAATTTAATTCATATGTTTATATTTTATTCACTTTTAATTTATCTATAATTTTAGAATTGAAAAATTTAATAGTAAAAATCAAAGTTATGTTACTAACTTAAATCGCAAATAATGCTATTGTGTTGGTTGACATAACATTAAATTATCAAAATCTAGTTATGTGGTAATCCTATGTAATCTTTTCATTAAGTAAAATAATGAATCAAAACTCATGCAAGGGGCGTGAATGAGATGCCGCGTGTCTGTTTCATCTTAATAAGAAAGTAACACCTTAGATGTCGTTGTTTGGCTCACAGAATGTTATATTACCTTAGGGAATGTTAGAATGTTGGAATGTAAAATTACTGAAAATGTTAGATTCATGTGTTTGATAAAAATTGAGGTTTGTAATATAAACCTGGTTGGTTGATGGGTGATTGTTTATGTTATAATGATTATTTTACCTTAATACCCTCAAATTACAAATCACCTTGCAAACATGGAAAGATGCAAAACTACTACAATATAATGTTCTTTCTTTTACAAATTTATGTTTTCCCTTATATCTAGTCCTCTTTTATTAAAAAAAAAAAGGTTTAGAATTTATGAAAATTTCATAGTAAAATTAAACTTTCACCTTTCTATGGGACACATAATGGGTTGAATAAAGCAAGTAAAAACTTAATAGAACAAGATAATGTCGTGTGTGGAAGTTAAAAATCCAAGGGCAATGAATGTAAAATGGCATACCTAAGGTTGATAAGAGAATCACATTCCCTCATAAACATGGAAAAATATGATGTGGAGGCTACATTTGATTCTAAGGGAAAGTTATATAACTCTAACCAAACGTAGGAATGTTATATAATAACCAATCCAATATAACTTTAGTTATCCTAAATAACTCGAACCAAACGCCCCCTTAGTACTTTGCCACTCTTGAGATCCTATTTGACATGAACAACTAACATTAGTCTGATCTATGATCTTAGTTTATTAGTCGAACGTTGACTTGAGTATAAGATTAGGGTTTTGAACCCAGTAAGGTGCGACCGATACTCAATTAGATTAATCATACATGCTTATAAGTTGTGTACCAAATCATATATATAGCTCAATTCATAGTTTTATAACCAAATTCTATCCTTAAATAAGGTACAATCCATACTTTTTTTTTTTTTTTTTTTTTTTGAATAGGGTACAATCGATATTTAGTTGGATTAATCATATCCCGATTAATTCTCTAGCAATCCGGCCTATACATATATATAGTGCAATTCATAGTTTTGATACTAGCTAGCTGCTAAAATAGTCTAGGAATTATATAATGGGGTTGGGGTGAGGTGTAAAGACTAAAGAGAGTGCCATAACTGGTAAAAAATAATAGCTTAGGGATTTGATAGATAGGTACAAGATAAGGACATATACCTACATCTTTGCAAGTAGCTAATTACATTATATATATCTTTGGTATTATATAATTATATTTCTAGTTTGGTCCAACGAGTAGCTAGGTATGTACTTTTAGTTATTGATAAGTCTTCTACACCTTTGATTTGTCAAATGAAAGGAATATTAACTCTGTGACCCATATTTGCCACAATCAAACATGTGACCTCAAATCATGTCTTGGTTGATGGAACTTTGCAGTTTTGTTAGGTTCTTTGTACCACATTAATGGTCAATAAATTCTGTATGTCTAAAATAAAAAAATAGAAAATACATTTACTTGTACATTTTAAAAATTTAAAAAGAGTAGGAATAAAGAAAAAAAAAAAAAACCAAAAGAATAAGGTAAATTGAGATTGTTTTAATAGTATATATTAATCTTATCTTGATGAATAAAGTTACAAGAGTAACGTGTGGAAGTTGCTAGCTTATTGGCTTTTTCAGTTTGAGCCAACAATGAATAATCTAGGTTGATTTACTTCATTGTGGTGCTTTATCGGTTAGGGTAAAAAGACAGACTTCACCTAGAGTTCATATACAGATGATAATTATAAGTGTTTTTTTTTTTTTTTTTTTTTTTTTTTTTTGGGTAAATCAAAGGTAAAGGCCCTGTTTGGTAAATGGCGGTTAGTTGTTAGCTGATTTGGTTAATTAGAGGGTATAACTAGTTGATAATATTAGCTGATTGTAGAAATGTGTTTGGTAAATTAGTTGTTTGATATAATTTCTTTTCTCAAAAAATCTAATTGAAAAAATTGTTTTGAGTAGCTTTTTGAATTTTAGCATTTTGAAGTTATAAAAAACTAATTAACCTAACACTTGTATTGATTTTTTAACCAAATCAAACAGTTAATAATGGTCAAATAAGCCAAAATTAACCTATAAACTAATTATTTTATCAAACAGGACCAAAGCAATAATGCAACAAGCAGCTGAGTGACACATAAAAAAGATATGATACCTTAGTAATTAAGTTATCATATGTGCACATATATATAATAATAATCACAAATACTATTTTCGATGTTTCGTTTAAAACTCTTAATTAATTAAACAAAAAAATATAATTAAAAAGGAAAAAAAAAAAAAAAAAAAAAAGCAAAAGGAATTCGTGTTTAGTCATGTATGTCTGTATTGAAGTGGGCTTAGATTGTTAGCTAGGTAGTCAACTTTCTGTGAAATGTCATGTTTGGAATATCCTTATTATGATGATATAGATAGGTCATGATGATTTGGTTCTTGTACCACAACCAAACAAAGATTAAATGAAAGAGATTGAGATACATGCATGTGAGAGATAGTTTATGATTTTTGGTTGTATATTTAATTAAATTATTTTTGTTGTGTTTATTTGTTTATAATATTTAATAGGTTTAATTTAAATATTTACAATACATTTATTATGCAATTATTCATAGTTAAATGACTGACTTGAATTGAAAAGACATTAAACATAAAATCGATATTACGTTTTAGTTATCAAATTATTTATTCGATCAACTCGGTTGAGATTATACAATCTATTAAATATATATCTTGACCTAACAATTTATGGTGCATTTCAAGACAAGATATAACAGGTAAAGTGCTATCTAGGTAGGCATCTAGGATTTATTCTATGAATTGAAGCCATGGCACCAATAATGAATGATAGTTAATTGTCATCAGATCATGGAATAATATATATATATATATATATATATATATATATATATATATATATATATATATATATTCTTTGCCCATCTTTATAATAATTAAAAAAATCTAATAATTCGGGATTGAGTTCGAAATAAATGATCGAATGAATGAAGCATTATTTTAGAAAGTCAGGAATTTAATTTTTATCAATACTCTCTTGGTCAAATCGTCACGGAGGGTCTTGTTAATTTTAATTGTTTATACAAGAGGGTGTTGGCAATAATCTTGTGACCTTCAAGTACGAGAATTAGTTAGAGCACAAATATTTTAGGATCAATAATGCTCTTTTATAAACAAATTAAAATTAACACTACTAAATAATTTTTTTAAAAAAATAGTTGGCTATGATCTTGAATGAA